GTTCAGAATTCAGTTAGTCAAGCCATTTTCGATTATGGTGATAACATATTTGACGCTAACACGTTAAAAGTTGGTTTTGATTCGATTTGAGCTCTAATGCTAATATTCCTTAACAAATAAAGATTGACTTGCCTAATAAGTGTGGCTTTTTGATTACGTGAACGTACGTACGTACGTTATACTAGAGGTGCAGCCGTAACTTTGCCTTATCCGTCATGTCCTATGTGTGCACTGAACGTTTTTTGTATATACTGTATTATTCGATCACTTACTAATCATGTGATAACTCAATTTTTTGATCATTTTTCTGATTTTATTTCTTTTTGCGAAACTTGTATAAAACTTATATGAAAGTTAAGAAAAAAAATTGAGCGAAGAAAAAAAAACAAAGATAAAAGAAAAAAATAATGAGCAAAGTGAAAAATAAGCGAAAATAAATAAAGAGTAAAAGTGAGTTAAATGATTAGAAAATCGAATAATATATACGAAAAACGACAGTTTACGTCAGACATTACGGATAAAAATGTTATCAGTTAAGTGCAGCCGATAAATCTAATTATCGTTTACAACCTAACCAATAACAAGTACGTAACCTCGTTAATATCAACCTAAGCCACAAGACAAATTTTTATAAATTTTATAAATAGGTTAGTGGTGCCATAAAAATGTCGCGGTGACGTGATAGTCGACCCGACTCATTTTATAGTACGAATTTGATACTGATCAAATAGTAATAACATTTACATTATATTAAATTGATATATTGATCATATATCGGAGTTGCTATGATCAATAAATTAATGGGTCGGAAATAGTCGAAGATCACATGACCGCGACATTATTATGGCACCACTAACCTACCTAAATTTTATAGGCAAAAAGACAATAGTGACCCGTCTCCATGGCGACCCTACATATAGCAGCCAGTCATATTTAGGGTTCGAAAATTTTCTTTTGTATTTTTTTATTTTAAAAGTTATAAAATTTGTAAAAAAATTTTATTGGGCGATAATAAGCAATATATTATATAGTCACATGCTCAATTTTGATTGGCTATTCATATAGGGTCGCAATTTTACACTTCAACATGATTTAAAACCAATTCAAATAGGTTGATATTAACGAGGGTAACAATTATTTTATAGTTACAGAGGTCACGGCACGTTACGGCAAGTTACGGCAATCATTGGGACGATTTGCTTCACCTCAAGTATATACCAAGAAACTTTATGCATTATTGAGTCACAGGACTTTGCTTAATTGTCCTAGGTTGGGATCGGTCCGGATTATGGTCCGGAAATTAAGTCTTCGATCTAACGATAAGTCAATTAAATAACGATCATATATATAAAGCAATATTTAACGCAATTTACAGTGTACGTATATACAACACATAGAAATAATGCAATTAATTTGAAGTTTGACATTCTAAAAATATAACTCTAGTTTAGTTTATTTCGGTTTAATCATTTGGCTTTAGTTTATTTAACCATTTGGGAATTTTTGCTAGAAAAATAACCCTTCAAGGCTATATTGATTTTGTGAATAGAAATTAAATATGCCGGCTATCTAGGCATCCAATTTGAATGTTTATTTATTTATTTTATTTTATTTTATTTTGTAAAGCTTATTTAGCTTTGCAAAATAAAAAAAGGTTTATTCAAATTGGATAACTAGATGGTTGGCAAATTTAATTTTTATTCAAAAATCAACATAGCCTCAGAGGTTATTTTTCTAAATTATGTACAGTCGACTCTAGACATAATGAACTCAAAATTTTGGAATTTTTTGGTATAAAAAGTGCCATGTGTTTTTAATAAAAATAGTAATTTTCTATAACGACCTTTTTTCTTCCAAAATCTTTCTTTATAGAAAGGGTTGACTGCACTCTTTTTGTTGTTAATCTTTTATTATACTTCTTCATCTTATATAAATATTTTTCTTTTTCTTTCTATACACGATTTTTATTTTTTTTTTTAAATTGATGCAGCAGAATTCTAATTTTTGACCTACTTCGACTTTGGTAAGGAATCTTGTTGAAATAAATAAGGCACTAACTTCATCGTTAAATATTGTTCGAAATATCCCACGCTGTTAAGAAGTTAGTTAATATCACCAACGATACGTTTAAAAAACTTTTCAACAGGTATTATATGCTTATTTGATCTTTATCGTTATAAATAACTTTTGAATTATTATGAATAAAATACAAACCAATTTCAATATCTTCTTTAATCCACACTTAGTTATTGCAATTATCAACCTGATACTTATAAGCTAACGGAAATATTTGCTGAAGTGGCATAGGTAGGTTCGATATATTCAAAGTTTATTTAAGTCTCAATTTGGTTTCTTGTAATTAACGAAATAATAACTATTAAAAACATGTTTTGTCCTATCTCTATGTTTTTTTTTGCAGGAAATGAAAAATATTATACTAAGCTGACGCTAATGACAATATCGACTATTAACATTTTTTATGTAATTTTGGTTTTTAATCATTCCGACCTAACTTTCTGGACGACCATCCAATCCCAACCTTGGTACACATTTTCTGGGTGCCGCCAATTATATAACCGATTGAACTGTCAGTTAAATCTGAACTGGTTGTATGACAATCGGCTAGAACCGGTTACTAATATACTACTAAATGAAGCACTATACATATCGATATTTAATCAGTTACATATCAAATCTTTTTCTCTTCAGTATTCTAGTCATAATGTCTGACCTAAAGAGTGAACAAAATGAAGATAGCTCTTTTAATTTCAATGGCTCGAACGGCCAAGAGTTCCTCAATAAGCCTGAACCGTCTGAGGTGGGTTCAAATCCAGAAGAACCTCAACAATCAAGCGGAGGTCCCATAAGGAGAAAAAACAATGCAAAATCTCCCATGGACGAGTTTTTTGAACGAACAAAAGAATCTCAAACTTGTAAAATATGTAAAAAAATGTATGCTGGGATTGGTGAAACCTCCACTGGTACCTTAAAAACTCACCTACGAAGGAATCATCAATCCGAATTTGAACGAGGTGCTCAACAGACTGACTTTGAACGAAAAACCCGAACAACTTTAAATTTTCGAAGAGTAACACCGTATACTCGACAAGACAATTTTGAACGAAGCAGATCTTTGATTAATTGGATAGTATCAACAATGCAGCCTTTTTCTGTGGTCGAGGATGAGTCTTTTATCGAAATGATAAAAAAATTTGATCCACATTATCATGTGCCACGAAAGCAGTATATAAAATCCCATGTGATTAAAAGGTTTCAAAATCGTCGTGAAAGATTACATCATGATCTAGAAAATATTAAGAGTAGGATATCTTTGACTGGTGATTTGTGGACTTTGGATAACAATCAGTGCGCATTTTTTGGTGTCACTCTTCATTACATTGATGATGACTGGACATTTAAACGCTTCTTATTAGATATAATCCCATTCCGTGACTCTCATTCTGGTGCAAATCTTGCTCAATCTTTATCCAATTTATTAACTGAATTGGATCTTTCCTCAAAAATACTAGCATTGACAACAAATAATGCTCCGTCTACCATTGTTTTTGGTCATGAAATGGAATTAGAAATGAATAAAGAATTCGATAATTTAGGGTTTTCGCACTATCGCTGTGGTTCTCACGTTCTTAATATTGCTGTACAGTGTGGACTTCAAATTCATAATAATTCAATTGAAAAAATTCGAAAATTTATTAACAAAGTCAGGAGCTCTAATCTATTGATGGAGGATTTACGTCGTATATTCGAAGATCAGAATATACCATTTTCTATTCCACAAATCGATTTTGAATCTCAGTGGAGATCAACGTACTTGATGATTGAAAAGGTGAAACAAATGCAAATACAAGCGAACCTACTTGTTTTACAACATCAGGATGAATTTATCGATTCATACCCTGATGAAGATGACTGGTTAAATATAAATGTAAATAGCTTTATTTATAATAAGACATAATCTTTTATATTTACGGTTTTATATACAAAATTAATATTGATTTTTATTTATCTATCAATTGTTATTTAACTTTATTCAGGAATTGCTTACTGTCTTATCCCCATTTTATTCTGCTACTTTAACGCTTTCTTCATCTGTATATCCAACAATGGGTGACCTTCAACTTACTTTTTGGATTTTGAGACAACATTTACAGCATGAAATATCGGTCAATGCTACTCGGTATACTGTGGCTGATTCTATACTTCGTACTTTGGGCGAATATTGGTCAATTATCGATGAGACTTCAAAAATTGCATCTGTGTTGGATCCGCGCACAAAATGTTCCATTTTTCAACAAGGATCAGAAACTGATAACATTATAAATTCTATTCGGGCTAGGATGGCTTCTTACACACCTTCTTCTTTAGACATTTCTGAAAATTCTAATTCTATCATTACATCCGCATCAGATCCAACACTCTTATCATCATATCATTCTCCAACGACATTTAATAGAATTGATGCTCGTGCACATCTCCGATCTCTTACAAATCAATTCCTTCCAACTACACAACCTATCACGAGCAACGAATTAGAGCAATACCTTTCTTTGCCTAATGGTGAGGATTGTGAGCCCTTGTTATGGTGGAAAGCCCACAAAAAGAAGTTTCCGGTGCTTGCAGCGATGGCGCGAGACTATCTCACGATTCAGGCATCAAGCATCCCTTGCGAACAAGCCTTTTCTATTTCTAGCTCAAATATTTATAAATCACGCGGTAAGCTGAATCCAGAGATTGCCCGATCACTTTTGTGTTTACATAGTTGGATAGTTGAAAAGATTGGCGAAAACGGGGGTATGGATGATCAAGCAGGTAGTGATGATGATAGCAATATAAAAGTGGAAGTGAAAACAGATAACAGCGAAAAATAAGGGTTTATATTTGAACCATTTTTTTCCTTTTAATAATTTAGCTTTTTTGTTTTTTTAATTCGTTGATTCGAACTTTTTTTTTTCTTTTTAAATTAAAAAATCAAATATTTGGTAAATGGGTTGTAAAACGTCGATCAATGTTTATTTAACATATGGCAAATTTATCCATCTGTTTTAAACATGAAAGTACTAACCTATCATTAAATTGATAAGGCGGCCCATCATTCGTCTTATACAAAGTTTATAAATCTACTAACCTATACAAAAAATAATTTTAAAGGTTATATAGGTTTAAAATCATAACCTACGATTTTATTATAATTACTGAATAGCGGATTTAGCATAATCAAATAATTCATTATTTACAAATGTCCATTAAAATTATCTAATGAAAGAGCTAAATTTGAGTTCCGCCAAATTAAACCCTGTAAGCGTAAATTAAATTTACAAGTGTTGCGAGTTTTTACTTCCCAGCGGGATTTTGTAATCTTCCAATGGGATTTTTAATTAGTAAAAGTTCCATTGGCTTTTAGTTGGTTTCTAGTAGTTTTCAGTGGACTTTCGGTGGGCCCCCAGTAGCAACGTTGTTTTACACTACACCGTACTTAACCTCCGCAAAATTGATAACGCGTCTGTGAACACAAAACAATATCATACGCGTACTATAAAATCTTACTAAATAATCAAGTCGAAAAGATTAGAACATTAATTGTAAAACGCTTTAATTACATTTTGCTGATTTAAAATTTTTTACAGTGAAAACTTAAATTCTCAATAGATTTGCAAATTTTTCAAGAATGAATAAAATCTTTAACGTTTTTATAAATTTAATTAAAAGCTTGATTTTGTGAAGAATGAGAGTGTATATAATGATTCACAAAAAGTTAAACCAATAGCATTAAAATTCAAAGTCCAGCATTAAAATTGAATGGTCAACGCTTAAGTAATGTATATGCAATATCTACAACTATTAAAACTAACCTATTTAATTGGTAAATGTAAATCAAATAATGTAAAGAAATCAAAACGATGTTGTATGAGTATGCTCATTATAACAAAATTAATCGGATGAGTTATGAGAATCATAAGAATCTTCAGAAGTAGAGGAATTCACTGAACACGTATCTTCTTCAGATGACGTCGATTCTTCAGATGACGTCGATTCTTCAGATGACGTCGATTCTTCAGATGATGTCGATTCTTCAGATGACGTCGATTCTTCAAATGAAGCTGAATTTTCGGATGTTGATTCTTCAAATGAAATCGAGTGTCTAGATAACGTTGATTCTTCAAATGAAATTGATTTTTCAGATAATGCAGATTCTTCAGATGTATCGTTTTCATCAGATGTTAGTTCTTCATCGGATGAATCAGATGAATCAGATGAATCAGAAGCAAGACCATCTAAAGAATTTGTTTCATTTGTCGTAATGACATGTTCTTCCTCAGATGTATCATCAAAATAATCTCGTGGCAATTCCTCAGATGATTCAGTATCTTCTTCTTCCGAATCTAATGTTGAAATATCATCATCACCATAGGTTTCATTTTCGTCTTCAGATGAATCAGATACGATAATTTCAACCCCTTCGTATAATGCACAAGTTCTTAAATGTTCCCCTCTTTGCCAGTCTCCTAAGCATCTTCAGAAATAATAATAATAGTAATTTTTCCTAAAGACATTTTGTCTTAAGAAAATAAAAATACTCACAACCAACAAAATTCCATAAGACAACTCTCAATTTTACATTTTACATGATCGCACCCATCAATTTTTTGAATATGAATTCCACATTTTGGGCAAGGCTTAGTGTTTTTTTCTAGATAAATTAGGGATTCTGTATCAATCTTACCAATTTTAATATCATATTCTTGACAAGTTAAACCTTCATGCCAAGGTGAATTATGCGTGAAGCAAGTTGCTTTTCCACAGCATTCGCAAATCATCTTGGGAGCCTGATCTGTTTTAAGGATTAATACATAAATATATTAATGTTAAATTACGTTTTAAAAAATCAATCTCAGATATAATAAACTTGCCTCCTCCAATATGAATTTGTCCGGATACACATTCGGATCCACCTTGACACCAGCGAAAACCAGGATCTGATTGAAGAGCAAGTCTTAAACAAACATCATCAAATCTATAAGATAAATTAACACTATTAAGACGATTTCAGAGAATTTTGCAACGATTAAGATTATAAAAATATCAAATTACTTTCGAAAAAGTTCTCGAGAAACAACACGTTGAACATCTTGATATTCCATCGTATTATCACATTCATCAACAAGGCATTTGATCAATGTGTTTTTTCGAATTAATTGAATGTTCACATATTTATTAATACAATCTTGACAAGTAGATGGTTCATGAGCACAATGAGTTGTCATATTCAATATATTGTCTGTTTTATCACAACAAATAGCACACTCGAGACTTCTACAAGTCTTTGCCATTTTCGATAGGTAAAAGATACGCAAAGTATTCACTGTTATGGATCCGTTTAATGCTTACGAATCAAATTCTATTTTCAAGTTGAAGTCCTTGCCTCAATCTTTATTAACGAAGTTAAGTATACTTAATTTGCTCAATGTAAATGAAAAAAAGATTCGGTGATTTTTTAAGATCCAAAACCACGTACTGCACACCACGGATGCAGATCATATTTATATTTAAAAAACGTGATTCTCCGCAGCAAATATTCATTTACGATTTCTGCTCATTATATCGATATTTCAAAAATTTATAACGATAAGTATTTATCGTTATTAACACCATAATACAAATCTTTCACGTCGTGTTCAAAGTAAATATTTACCCCCGTGTAAATCACGAGTTACTCGCTATTCTACTGTTACACTAAGTTGATTACATAGTCCGAAACTTTGTCCGAAACGCGAAAAATTCATTACCCGAAACCTTATCCGAAACTCAAAATCTTCCAATTGAATGTTTGTATATATGAATATATAGTATAGTCAACCCTCTATAAAGTCACCTCCTCTATAGTCACAAAATTAATATAATTACAAATTTACTTTTACTGTTTATTTATAACTATATATATATAGAAAATACCTCTATACTAGGCACACCTCTTTATAATCACAGATTTTGTATCCCAAAGGTGTGACTATAGAGAGGTTTGACTGTATTTTACTATATAAGTAAATCGATGCACCCATCAGGACAATAGTATAGTAAAAAACAAATAATAAATTTAATTACATATTTAGAGAGGGTGTGCATTTGTAGAAAGCAAAGGTATAGGACTATTATAGAGCGTACATTTATAGAGTATGTTTATGAAGGTCTAACTGTACGTATACGTATTTAAGACTTGGACCTAGGTAGCAAGACAGAATTTTGTTTTTATTGGCCGATTATCAGTATCAAACCCGATACTTATTTATCGCAGTTTTCGAGATATCGAGAAAAACGGATAAAAATTTTTTCAAGTATATTGCATATACTTGTATACCAGATTACCTTAGCACATCGATTGCTTGATTTACTTATTGTTTCAAACAATACGTATGCATATAAATCAAGTATTGAGTATCAACCTCCGGTATACGAGTATACGCAGTATACGGGTAAAATTCTTTAGTGTTTGAAGGTTTTTTTTATAAAATTTTAAAATTACAAATAAAATAAAAATTATTACACAAAATTGGTTAATTTGTTTATATATAATTTTTATTATTTGTTTAAAAGCAATATATTCAATATATTGTATATTATTTATTCAAAAAAAGTAAAAAAAATTTATAATTAATGGTTTGGATTTACAGTTTTGTACTAGTTTTAGTATGTTTTTAAAACTCATAAAAAATCTAAAAAATTTAAAAATTTAATTTTTTTTTATATTAAAAATCTAATAATTATTCAAAAATTTTTTAGCAAAATTTTTTTTTATATTAATAATAAAATTGTTAAGAGAGTGTGGTGACTTAGTGAAGTGGTGAAGTTGTCGCACTCCAAGTGGTAAAGTATAAGTTCAATTCCCACAGAAGGCAAAAAATTGAATTTAGAAAAACAGATTCGGCAACTATTGTTATGGCTGGGAAAACTCGAGACTCTGTAACTGTGGTCATACCAAGATAAAAATTGAAAGGTTTTGGGGCATTTGTGTAATAAAGGAGTTATACAAAGGCATGCAAGCCAGTTTAGTTAGTGCAAATTCAAGATAAGTCCTTCAGAATTGCAGAAAAGCCACAGGGTCAATACAGCGGTGGGGTGCTCACTTGGGAAGTTCCAAATAAAGAGATAGCACAGATCTTCGACAGTACTCATATGGATTAATACCTGGAGAACTGGATAAACTGAACAGAACCGAAGTGTTTGGCAAGGCACTCTACCAACCAGACCACTAGAAGAGTAACTGGAGGAAAAGGACCTAATCGTGGGGACCAGGGCAGGCTATAGCCCTTCTGGGCCATCTAGATTGGTAGTTTGGAATAGCTGAGATGATCAGGAAAAGTCTGCAGGTGTACCAGAGTTTGGGTGAACTCTATAAGGGCAGTAGTAGGTAACTGTAGCTGCCTCAGCTCGCAAGTACTTTTCCTCAGACTCAGTGTAAGTTACCAAAGAAGACTAGGTAATATGGGAATAGAGGGTACTGGACTGAACTAGCAGGTGATATACTTGAGGATGAATTGGTTAATTATGTCGGTAGTCCTATAGGTAGATGCAACGATCTTAGAACTTGGACTGACTTATGTATTACATATTCCGGGTGAGGTTAGATGGATTGACATAGGAAACTCAAATCAGAGGGTTTAATTGGATAATTCAAGTAATAGTGGGTTACAGGGGTTACAGGTATGGCATCTAGTGTAACACCTAGCACATAGATAGAATCACTTAATTAGGCATCCAAAAGGTGCAGATATGGCTAGAATATATCCTCGTCAGAATGTACTTGTCTGAGGCCCCTTTGAAAAAGGCACTGCATGATCTTAATATCTAATAAAAGTGATAAGCCGAAGAGGCTAACCTTGACTATAAAAATAAAAAAAAAATAAAAAAAATTGTTAAAAAAAAATTTTTTTAATAACTTATATTTTTTGTGTAATATTATTGTACTAATTTTAGTATATTTCTGAAGACATTTTTATTATGAAATTACTACAGTGCAGAAACTCTTAAACCAACACCTTTTAAAAGTGATCAAATTTGAGCCAAAATACTGAAATTTGATTGGCTAATTTTTCAAATTTTTATTATGTTTTTTAAATTTGTATTATATTTTTTAAAAATTTATTATGTTTTTATATATATGCAGCCAAAATTTTATTTTATTAGTAATGTTAAAAGGAAATAACATTATCATATTTTGTTCTATTCAAAAACAAACTTTATAGTTTTGTTCTACTCAGTTTGTTGTATATTTCTATAAAAAGTTTTTTTATTTAAATATACAGTCAAACCTCTCTATAGTCACCTCCTCTACAGTCACAAAATTGATATAATTACAATTTTATTTTTACCAA